TAATCAGATTTGGATGCTACGAAAATATTAGGACCAAAATCGTGCCACCTGCCCACTATAGGTAGGCCAAATGTAATAGCTAGAATGGTCACACCCGGAAAGGGATCCTCTCTGGATCCCTTCTTCCTAATTCACCAAGTCCGGAGATCTGAACCGTTGAAATTTGATCCAACGGCTAACGTTATTATAATTTTTAAAGTGGACCCCTGTTTGTAGCCGTTGGATCAAATTTCAATGGTCCGGATCCCCGAACTTGATAGATTAGGAGGAAGGGATCCGGAGAGGATCCCTTTCCGTCAAACCCTAAACCTAAATTCCTAATAAAAATGTACTAATTACCGCGTACTTATATTTAAGGGTGTGATATCCACACACCCCTTTTTACTTCTCTCACACTTTTTTTGTTTTCGGCCGTCGGATCGGATGAATTGAAGAAGATCAATGGACATAAATTAATAAGGGGTGTGTGAGAAGTAAAAAGGGGTGTGTGGATAGCACACGCCTATATTTAACGCTTTGATTCTCTTGACACTTGTCCCCTACTTGTAAAGCCAAATGTAATAACAACCCTAGACTCCTAATTATATATCATTTGCATGATCTTCCTATGATCTTTTCGAAGTAACACGTATATTATGATGAGGCAATAGAGGAAACAATGCCCAACGTAAGGGAGATGATGCACTCCTAGAACCCTATCTTTAGTCTAAAGTCTCCAACACTCCATTCACGATTGAAATGTAATCCCAATCCATAATTAGGGTATTCGATCTACCTATCATTTATACTTAATTTTCTCTATCAGTGACGTACTTTCATTATTATCTTTTCATTATGCAATTGATGCAGAACATTTGGCTTAGTGATTGAAAGAGAAGGACGCCACTGTTCAAACACATGCCTTTACCATGACATACAATGGATTTTGATTATTTGAGGTCGTTTAGGCTTCCAAACTGCATTTTAAATTCTTTAATAAAAAACGAACTTCTCGTTTATCGTCCGATTAATGTCGTTTTAATGTCGGTCATTTCCTTAAGGCCCTTGAGTTTCCTCAAGGAGTTGTGATTAAGCTATTTAAGCAGTTGGCTTCAATGTAATCACATCTTTCATCAATAATCAAACAAACCTTTCGGTTTTCTAATAACTATAGTGAATTTCAGAACTTGTTCAAGGACTTATGTTGGTATCCCCTGTGACCTTCGTGTTACGTCGGCAATGTTGCATAATAGTCACAAAAAATTACTTTAACGTTATTCTAGAGAATGAAGCCACATTTTGATGTCCTCAGTAATAAGACTTAGAAGGGAAGCATCTCGTGCATTCGAAGTCACTGCTTGAATCAAGAGGAAGAGAGTCACTTTCAAAGAGAACATGAGAAAAGTTAAGCTCCATAGCACGACGAACACCCTCCCTAACTGCAAGAAACTCCACTGTCACCGGGTTGGAGATATGATAAAATCAACAGACCAAAGCCCCGGTAAAACCACCAGAGCTGTCTCTAAAAAAGTTTTGTTATGCTTGAATACCAACACCTTTAAGTTTCCGTCGCAAAACCTAATTTATGGGGTCCAGGATCCAACGTTGAGGTCCAAATCTTGACAGTTCTGTTACATATTTATATCATTTTCGTTCCTACATAACTAAATCAATACTAATATCTTAAATTCATCGATATAAACTTAATGATATTTCTGTAAAAACTAAAAACTGATACTCTATAAGCAAGATGGGCTTTCAGAGCTAGACTTTTGTCATCAGAATATGCGTGTTGTCTCTCAACACGCACTGATCAAAGAACGATGCATAAGCCAGATATTTATGCCCAATGCTGTTGATCGAGGAGACAGAAGACACGAAAGACCAAATTATGATGAAAAAGTGTTGAGAGTTAGGCTGGTCAACTCATGAACTCCTAAATGGCTGATAAAATAAGTTTCATGTGATCAGATTTGGATACGGTACAAAAATATTAGGACCAAAATCGTGCCACCCGTCCTCTAGGCAGGTCAAATGCGATCACAACCAGACTGGTCAAAACCCCAAACCTAAATTCCTAGTAAAAAGTACCAAGTACCGTGTGATTACATTTGAGGCCTTTGAGTGTCTTGACACTTGTTCCATAGTTGTAAAGCCAAATGTAATCACAACCCTAAAATCCTAATTATATATCATTTGCATGATCTTCCTTTGATCCTCTCTAAGTAACACGTGTATTATGAGGGAATCAAGGAAACAATGTCCAACGTAAGGCAGATGATTCACTCCTAGAACCTAAATTCCTAGTAAAGTACCAAGCCGCGTACTTTAGAGACAATTGTCCCCTACTTGTAAAGCCAAATGTAATCGCAACCCTAAATTCCTAATTATGTATGATGCATGATCTTCCTATGATCTTCTCTAAGTAACACGTGTATTATGAGGCAATCAAGGAAACAATGCCCAACGTAAGGCAGATGATTCACTCCTAGGACCTAAATTCCTAGTAAGTACTAGTACCACGTACTTAAATTTGAGGCAATTGTCCCCAATTTGTAAAGCCAAATGTAACCACAACCCTAAATTCCTAATTATATGTGATTTGCATGATCTTCTCTAAGAAACACGTGTATTATGAGTCAAGGAAACAATGTCCAACGTAATGCAGATGACTCACTCCTAGAACGCAATTTTAGTCCAAAGTCTCTAACATTCCCACGCACGATTGAAATGTAAACCCAATCCATAATTAGGGTATTCGACCTACCTATCATTTGTACTTTTCTTTATCGGTCATGTACTTTCTTTTTACTAGGAATGTTGAAAGCAATGTTGCATGATAGTCAAAACTGTTTACTTTCAACGTTATTCTACAATGCTTCATGAAAAAATCAATAAAATAGAAAATTGTTGAACTTTTTATTAACAGTGAGATAATTCATTTTACGGTCAACGATACTGTATTCGTCTAGTTAGTTGATTGCAACTAAATGACTAAGGTCTAAATTTTCATACCATACATAAGAACATGGTGGAAGATGATAGAAACGGAAGGTAGCTACCACGCCTCATGAATCATGCATTATCTTTAACGGGTGACATAAAGAATAACGTAATTTTCGTCTGATTAAGATTCAACCCTAAAGCCGAATCATAAACCCATTTATTTTATTGGATCTCCCTCATTAAATTATCATTTCCCTGAAAAATATCTTGCAATGTGGTCACTACTCAAAAAGTGACCAATAGTAGCTAGGGTTTTGCAAGAGCATTTTGGTGGTGAGTCTTTTGTTTTAAAAGAATTTTAAAAAAATATCTAAGAGAAACGATAGCGATTTTATTCAAACTAAAAAAGTCATACAATCATCTAAGAGGACATCATGGATCATAGCCGGATAATATCTGTAAGCTCCTCAAACCATTGTTCAATCGAATCAAACACAAAACATTAGTTACTCTGTGAGCAATTGAATCGGCATAATGTCGGACATGTGAGGTTCGCACACCATCAAGAGAACGAAGCCAAATTTTTATGTCCTGAGTAATGAGACTTGGAGGGGAAGCATCTCGTGCATTCGAAGTCACTGCTTGAATCAACAGGAGAGAGTTCTTTTCAAACAGACTCCATTGTCAATGGGTTTGAAATATGATAAAAGCGACGAACCAAAGCCCCGGTAAAACAACCAGAGCTGTAAAAAAGTGTTGTTATGCTTGAGTACCAAAACCTTTAAATTTCAGTCGCAAACCCTAAGTTATGGGGTCAAGGTTCCTACCTTCAGCTCCAAATCTTAAATGTTTTTACATATTTATATCATTGTCGTTCCTAATTAACTAAAACAATATTAAATCTTAATATTCGTAGATATAATTGTAAAGTAAGCTATTGATATTTCCGTTAGAACTAAAATCTGATACTCTATGAGCAAGATGGGCTGTCAGATCTGGACTTTTGTCATCAGGATACGTGTTGTCCCCTCACGCAGTGATTAAGGAACGATGCAGAAGGCAAATATTTTTATGTCTAAAGAACAATGCATAAGGCAAATATTTATGTCTACAGAACGATGCATACGGCAGATATTTATGTCCCATGCTGTTGATCGTGGAGGCAGAAGACACAAAAGGACCAAATTATGGTGAAGAATTGTTGAGAGTTAGGCTGGTCAACTCATGAACTCCTAAACGGCTGATAAAATAATTTTCATGTAATCAGATTTGGATATGGTCGAAAATAATAGGACCAAAATCGTGCTACCTGTCCACTAGGTAGGCCAAATGCAATCACAAACCGGACTGGTCACAACCCTAAACCTAAATTCCTAGTAAAAAGTACCAAGGAATATGTACTTACACTTGAGGGTTTGAGTGTCCAGACACTTGTCCCCTAGTTGTAAAGCCAAATGTAATCATAAACCCTAAATTCCTAATTATATATGATCTGCATGAAGGTCGTATGATCTTCTCTAAATAACACGTGTATTATGAGGCAATCAAGGAATCAATGTCCAACGTAAGGCAGATGACTCACTCCTAGAGCCCAGTCTTTAATCTAAAGTCTCCAACACTCTCACGCACGATTTAAATGTAAACCCAATCTATAATTAGGGTATTCGACCTACCTATCATTTGTACTTTTCTTTATCAGTCATTAATTTCTTTATTATTTTTTCATTATACAATATTGTATGATGATCAAAACTGTTTATTTTCAGCGTTATTTTACAATGCTTCATGAAAGGAAACTGTTAAGGAAGATATCTCTATTAATTAGTCAATATTGTAAATTGATATTGTAGTTATTTACTTCCTTGTTTAGTTTCTGATCAAGCCTTGTTTATAGGCGATAGTTTAGGATCCTATTGACTGTATCATTTTATAAAGTTGTAAACCTAGTTGTTGAATGATATATCGAAAATCATAATCCCATTCTATGCTTCTTATGATGGTACCAGAGTGATTGATATCTGGGAAAATAAAAAGCAAACACACAGACACCAAAACAACCCTAGCAAAACATAGCCATGGGTGATAGCGCAGACATGAAGTCAACCTCTTCATGCATGACTTCGCATCCAAAGTGGGAGAGTCCTAATCATCCACTTTATCTCCACCATTTGGACCAACCTGGTGCAGTCCTTGTGCCGGAGCCATTGGTGGAAGACAATTATAGTACATGGGTTCAATCCATGACCATGGCCTTAACGGTCAAGAACATATTAGGGCTTGTTGATGGGACAATCAAGAAGTCAAGTGAAGATGAACATGAAGAATTGCAGCAATGGAATCGATGCAATAATATGGTTAAGACATGGCTCTTAGGATCCATGTCAAAAGAAATCTCAAGTAGCGTCATCAATTGCAAGGATGCAAGGCAGATGTGGCTTGATTTGCAAGAAAGGTTTTCTCATGTGAATATTGTTCAATTGTTTCACATAGAAAACGAGATTCATGACTATGTGCAAGGCAACATGACAGTGAGTACATATTTCACCAAATTAAAAAACTTGTGGGACGAACGTGACGTGTTATGTTCTATTCCTGCATGTAGTTGTGATACGAAGAAGGAAATCATCTCTTATGTTGAAACCCAGAAAACAATGAAATTTCTCATGGGTTTAAATGATTCTTATTCCATTGTTCGTAGTAATACCCTTCTTCTTGAGCCTTTACCTACAGTGAACAAGGCCTACTTTCTTGTTCTTCGCCATGAGAGACAGGCAGAAGTCTCAAGTGGAAAGCATACTTTCCAACCTGAAGCGGCAGTTTTTGCTGTGAAGAATGGTGGCGGAGAAACTGAACCAGAAGATGGTGGTCTTCGCTGTGGAAAATGTAACAAGATAAATCATAGCACCAAAAACTGCTGTGCTCATCTCAAGTGCACTTTTTATGGGTGGAAAGGTCATTCCTTCGAATATTGCCACAAAAGCAAAACGGCTGCTGAAACTGAACAAAGCCACTCATCCACTTCCAAGGGCAACCAAGTTGCCATGCACGACAAAAAGGACGGGATGCCAAACTTTCCTTTTTCCAGGAAGATTGCAAGCAGATACTCGCAATGTTGAACAAAAACAGATCTTCCTTAACAGATTCTCCTTTGCAAATCAAGTTGGTAATTCCTCGAATAATGAAGAACTTTCAAGTAAAGCTTTTCATGCATAATGGCATAAAAAATGTTTGGATCTTGGATAGTGGTGCAACGAACCACATTGTTTGCAGCCCTCATTGTCTCATGACGTCAAGACCTATTACAAACCATACTGTTAAACTACCCACTAGTTCTCTTGCCACGGTCACCCACATTGGACAAGTTGTCTTCTTTCCCAACCTTGTGCTTGATAATGTTTTGTGTGTCCCATTTTTCAAATTAAATTTGATATCCATTAGCAAGCTCGCACATAATTCCCTCTATATTACCATCTTCCTAAAACAATTTTGTGTTATACAAGACCTACGCTCGGAGAAGATGATTGGGACAGGAATTAAACGAGAGGGACTATACTATCTTGATCCACCAAAGAAAGGAACATGTAACACCATTCAAACATCCAACCATCATCTTTAGCATCAACGCCTAGGACATCCATCACAAACTGTTTCCATGTTATTTCCTTTTTTCCAACAGAAATCTTGTGATTCTAATAAATGTGTCATTTGCCCATTGGCCAAGCAAACAAGAGCACCATTTTCATTGAGTTTCATATCCACTAAATCATGTTTTGAATTGATACATGTTGATATCTTGGGGGGGGGGGGGGGGGAGGGGTATCATGTTCCTTTTATTTCGAGTGCAAAATACTTTCTCACTATTGTTGATGATTACACCAGAAGCACATGATTTATTTGATGAAACACAAATCTGACATACAACAGCTCATTCTACAATTTGTCCATTTGGTCGAAACCCAATTCACGACCAAGGTTAAAATGATTTGAAGCGACAATGGTCCCAAATTTAAACTTGACAATTTTAATGCCAAACAAGGTATCATTCATCAAACTAATTGTGTCAACACACCATAAAAAAAGGTGTTGCTGAATGTAAGCATCGACATTTATTAAATGTTGCCAGAGCCCTCATCTTTCAAGCCAACATGCCAAAACGTTTTTTGGGGGGACGCCATACTTGCTTCAACCTATCTTATTAATCGCACACCCACACCCCTTCTTCAAGGAAAGACACCTTATGAAAAGTTGTTCCAGAAAGCACCTACTTACTCACACTTACGAGGGTTTGGTTGTTTGTGTTTTGCTTCCACTCACGCACATAAACCTTCAAAATTTAATCTTTATGCTCATCGCTGCTATCCATATGGTAAAAAAGGCTATCGATTATTCGACCTTCAACTCAACAAAGTTTTTGTCTCACGAGACGTGATTTTTTTAAAGAACAATTTCCTTATCACTCAGACATTTCCGTTGCTAATCCATAGTACTCCACTCTAACCAACTCCTTGTCACAATTTGATATGGACTCTTTTCTTGCTTTATCTCATACGCCACACGACTCCCCCGACCATGACTCTACACTTTCTCCCATTAACTCCCCACTATCAAACTCCACACCCTCAGATATCCCACCCTCAGACACCCTACCTTCACCTTCCCCACCTTCTCGACCCTCAGATATCCATGCGTCTTCCCCGTCCCCAGCCACTCTAACCCTAACCCTACCTTCTCCATCCACACCACAAACAGCCTCGCCAACTCCACCCCGCCGTGGAACACGACCTACCAAACCCTCTACCTTTTTGCAGGACTTTCATGTCGATGTCTCTCTTCCGTCCAGGCCTGCTCCCACATCTTATACAAACGTGGTCCAGCCCTCGTCAAGTACTTCCCATCCTCTATCCACTTATTCATCCTATGATCGTCTCTCACCTCCCCATAAATCTTATACCGCTAATCTCACCCTCCTCAAAGAACCAGTATGCTTTTTGCAGGCTGTCCGAGATCCAAACTAGCGCGATGCCATGCAAAATGAAATTGATGTTCTTCAAGCCAATCATACCTGGACACTCGTGCCTTTGCCGCTACATAAACGTCTCATTGGATGTAAATAGGTCTACAAGATTAAGCTTAAACCTGATGGCACTATCAAACGGTACAAGGCACGCCTCGTTGCCAAAGGTTACAGTCAAATTGAAGGTGTTGATTACCGCGAAACCTTTGCTCCAGTGGCTAAGTTAACCATAGTTCGCGTGCTTCTTAGTGTTGCCGATATGCAAGGTTGACACTTCCATCAACTGGATGTGAACAATGCCTTCTTAGATGGTGATCTCGAAAATGATGTCTACATGACCTTGCTTCCTGGCTTCGGATGAAAGGGGGAGACTCGAGTCTGCAAGTTAAATAAATCTCTCTATGGTTTAAAGCAAGCTTCGAGGCAATGGTTCATTAAGTTATCCAATGCTCTTAAGGCCACTGAATTTCATCAATCATGGTCCGACTATTCACTATTCGTCTGAAGTCGTCATGGTAACTTCATTGCTTTATTAGTCTATGTCGATGATGTGATATTAGCAGGTAATAATATGCATGAAATTGAAGAAACCAAGCAGTTTCTCTCTCAATGTTTCAAGCTGAAAGACTTGGCGCAACTCAAATATTTCTTGGGAATAGAAGTTGCACGTTCAAAGTGTGGAATTACTCTATGTCAACTAAAATATGCACTAGAAATATTGGATGATGCTGGGTTTTTAGGAGTTAAGCCTTCACGATTTCCTGTGGATCAAAATTTGTCTCTCACACAAATGGAAGGAAAGGTGTTAAATGATCCTTCATCATATAGACGGCTTGTGGGCAGGTTGATATACTTGACCATAACAAGGCCTGACTTGGCTTATGTTGTTCACATGCTAAGTCAGTTCATGCAGAAACCTCGGTAACCATATCTTAAGGCTGCACACAAGGTCCTCAAATACATTAAACAAGCACCAAGACAATGAATTTTTCTTCCTTCCACGGGTTCATTGCAATTACAAGCATTTTGTGATGCTGATTGGGCTAGATGTAGAGATACTAGAAGGTCGATAACGGGGTACTGTATTTTGCTTGGTCAAGCACCTATTTCCTGGAAAACTAAGAAACAAACAACTATATCTCATTCTAGTGCAAGGCTGAATACCGTTATATGGCCACCACATGCTGTGAAATCATATGGCTGAAGAATATTTTGAAAGATATAAGAGTGAATCATCCATGACCAGTCAAGTTATTTTTTGATAATCAAGCGGCATTACACATAGCTTCAAATCTTGTTTTTCATGAACGAACAAAGCATATAGAGATTGATTATCACCTAGTACGAGAAAAGATTCAAGAAGGAATGATACGCACGGCTTACATAAGGACAAGTGATCAACCAGCTGATATATTCACCAAGCCATTGAGTTCAACGCAGTTTGAAGTCTTACTTAGCAAGTTGGGTGTCATTAGCATACACTCCAACTTGAGGGGGAGTGTTAAGAAAGATATCTCTATTAATTAGTCAATATTGTAAATTGATATTGTAGTTATTTACTTCCTTGTTTAGTTTCTGATCAAGCATTGTTTATAGGCGATAGTTTAGGATCCTATTGACTGTATCATTGTATAAAGCTGTAAACCAGTTGTTGAATGATATATTCTATGCTTCTTATGAGAAACAATAACATGAAAAATTGTTCAACTTTTTTTTGGGTAAATTACATAGTACCCCCTCAGAATTGAGATATATTATAACCCCATACAACATCTTTAAAACATTTCATTTTCATACAACTTATCATTTTATTTCAATTTCATACAACAGTTAAAAAATCTGTTAAATTAACTGTTAAGTGATGATGTGGCAAATATGGGGTCCCCATTTGTGATGACGTGGCTGCCACATGTGTGTCACGTGGCTAAACAATTAATAAAATATTTAAAATATTAAAATAATTAATTAACAAAAGTTATATTAAAAAAAACCCAGAAGTTGTCTTCCCCACCCATCCCTCTCTCCCATCCATCATCACCCACCCCCAAAAATCCCACCCGAGCCCACCCCCTTCTCCCATCCCCCATCACCCCTCCCAAAAATCCCCTTCTCAGTCCTCTCCTCATCACCATTTCTAATAGCTTCTTCCTCTGCTATTCTTCTTCTCTTTCTCATCTCTCTCTCACTCTCGGAGATGAGCTTCTCCGCAAAGCCTCAAACCCTAACCCTAATCTCATGCACTTCTCTCTCTTCTTCTTCCTCTTCCCATCGCCGATAGATTCGTAGAGCCGCTCGTCAGCGGTTTCCGCTTTCACAGAAAATGTAGGAGCTTGGACGGAGGGGGTGGGCTCGGGTGGGATTTTTGGGTGGGTTGGGGGGTGGGGTTGCAGAGAAGGGGAAGGGATAGGTAGGGAAGAAGACTTCTAGTTTTTTTTTTTTTTTTTTTTTTTAAGAACAAATATGGGTATCTAGGTAGGGTGGGGTGGGGGGTTGCAGGGAAGGAGAAAGGATCGGCTAAGGGAGGTGAAGAGAGTGGAGGATAGGGGGTGGGTTGGGGGGGTTGCGGGGAAGGGGAAGGGATGGTGGGGAAAACAACTTCTAGTTTTTTTTTTTTTAATATAACTTTTTTTTAGTTTATTATTTTAATTTTTTTAAAAAAATTATTAATTGTTTAGCCATGTGGCACACATGTGGCAGCCACATCATCACAAATGGGGACCCCGTATTTGCCATATCATCACTTAACGGTTAATTTAACAGATTTTTTAACGGCTGTATGAAATTGAAATAAAATGATGAGTAAATGTATGAAAGTGAAATGTTTTAAAAATGTTGTATGAGATTGTAATAGACCTCAAACCTGAGGAGTACTATCTAATTTACTTTTTTTTTTTATTAAAAGTGAGATAATTCATTTTAGAATCAACGATATTGTATTCGTATAGTTAGATGATTCCATTTAAATGACTAAGGTCTAAATTTTCATACCATACAAAATAAGATGGTGGAAGATGATAGAAACAGAAGATAACTTCTAAGCCTCGTGAACCATGATCTTTAATGGATGACATAAAAAAATAACGTAATTTTTGTCTGATCAAGACTCAACACTAAGCCCGAATCATAAACCCATTCATGATTGGTTCTCTCATTAAATTATCATTTCTCCAAACAAATATCTAGCAATGTGGTCCTATAACTTGAACAAGACCGGGTGAGAATCAAAGCACAATTTGCATTATCTTACAAAAATATTACCGATGCTTAACTTTTTTATCGGATTAATCAAATGCAACTTGTCCTTAGTGCGTGGCTGGTGACTGTGTAATATTATTATATTGTGCCAAGAAACACTATTGGCTCTGTGCTGACCAATCCCCTAACTCCACTTTCCCTAAGCCTGTGCCGAGAAGGTGGCGTGTCGGCATCGTAGGGCACCACGTCTGACTATTCCATAATCATATTAACGTAATTAGAAGAAGACAAGCATTTTTTAACAGCTAAAACCGTGCTACGTTTCAAGTTTGGATTGGTCCACGTAGCACTTTTCAGAGACCCAAAGAGGGTATTTTACTTGGATGAGGATCATCTCTGGATCCTCTTTACAAGGATCCTAAGATCCTCACATTCTAATCGTTCATCGTATATCGTGCGGTCAATTTTCGTTAGGTACTATTTATGTTTAATTTTAAATAATAAAATTCAAATATTTTTTTACCGCACGATGTACGATGAATAACTAAAATGTAAGGATTCCCAAAATCCCCACAATTTGAATCCCGTATCCAAATCCATTTTACTTTGCCATGCTCAACGGTGGTGCTCATGCTCAATTTTTTTTTTTTTTAATAGGACATGCTTAATTTTTGTAAGGAGGGATTCTCTTTGGATTTAAAGATTAATTTACTGACCATTAAAGTAAGTTTCAATATACAACTTTCAACCAAAACCTAATTCGGGACACATGGAACTTAGCCATCTGCCCTTAGAAGACTCTTTGAGGTTTTTTATTAAATAAAAATGATATTTTTATTCTAACTTATCTAAAAATAGACGAGAGTTTGAACCCATATACGAGTCGTAGAGACAAAAAGGTTTACGATTTATAATTTAGAGAAAAAATATTTATCCACCAATATAACACTTGCGACGACTACTAAAGCTCTAAACTTCAAATACAACAATAAATATTCTTTTTTTTTTAGTCCTTTAGTTTCTCCTTTTACTGTCGACATCTATTTTAAAGAAGAAAAACACCACACCAAAATTGATAAAACGAAAGACCACAAAGAAAATGCCAAAAGCAATGTTTTTCAACTCAAAAGCCAAATATGATGTGGCATGATATGGATTGTCAACCCTTATTCCTGTTGCCAAAATTGGCAGCAGCTTCAAATTTTTTTTAATGATTATTAAATGTATTTTATTATTGATTTAAAAAAACATTTATTATAATTATTAATGTAATAAAATAATAGTTTAATTTGACATATCAGGTGGAAAGAAAAAGTTTAAAAGTTGTTAAAGTGCCACATAGACTGTTAAATTTAAATTTTATGTAATATGATTTGACATCTCGTCTGGAGATGCCCTAAGATGTGTTAGGGCATGTTTGTTTACCCTCGCTAACTCTCACTGGACTGGACTAACTTAGCTAGGATTACTAGTTTGTATTTGGTGCAAGTAATTAAGGACTAACTTTAATGAGACTACGTCGGACTCGTGTCAACTAAATGCTTCACTGGTGGTCTTAGCAAGACTCCCAAAAAAGTAAAGGATTGCCCATCTCCAACACCCGCGTCATTTGCACACCTGAGTGTCTGCAAGCACGCATCGTTTACAAATCCAACATCTGAAACCTAGGCCTTGTTGAAAGGGAGAGCTCAAGCGCAGAGTTGGAGATGGAGGTGAGGCCTGGGTTTGGAATCCATGAAAGCTTTCCAGGTTGAAGGGGGAGAAGTTGGAGATAGAGGTGTGCCAGACGTTGCAGGATTCGATTGAATTTTTCTCCATTTTTTGTCAAAATAAAAACAAAACAATTTGGGATTTTTTTTTTGTTTTTGTTTGATTTGAATTCGCCATTGTAATTGCTACTAGAGAGGTTGGGTACAATGCTTGGTTTTTTGGTTCAGGTGTTTATTCGCAATTTCCTAATGCGTTGATAGGAAGGCGTTTTGAGAGCAATTATGGACGATGCGAAGAAGAGAAAGGATAAGAAAATAAGAGAAAAGAAAGGAAAGGTGGAGAGAGACGACAAAGAGTGAGTCAGATAAAAAAGTAAAGAAAATTAATGAAAATTGTTTGAAAACTTTGAATTTTAACGATAAAGACAAATTTAATGGTAAAGTGAATAGTATCAAGATTGATTTTTTAGTGTAAAAATATATTTTTTCATTAAAGTGAACAATACCGAAAGCTTTTTGTTAAAGTTCTCAAAAAAGTATGGATTAATAGTAATAAAATATTAATAAGATGAATTAAAATGACAAAAAAAATATTGGGATCTCAAAAATAATTTAGTATGTGACTTAGTCCGATGCTGCATTAAGAGTTTCATTATTCTTATGCTACTTAATCCATGTCAAGTCAATCCAACTTAATCCCTGAAGTTAATATTGTCCAAGATAATCTGGTGCAACAAACCGTCTTTAGTATTCAAAGTATAATTTGTAAGGGAATTTTTTTTAAATGTTATAACTTATGTAGCTTTTGTAGTTTGTCATATAAATTAAAACTTTAAGGTATTTGTCATATCAACTTTTCAAATTCATTAATTTGTCATCTCACTCATTGTTCATCTAAAATAAGCCATGTGCCTTACACATCACTTGGTTTCAAAGTTATTTTAGACTTTTTAATTCTCAACACCCTTTCAAAATCATTACGGACATATAAAAAATTAATAATTTTAAAAACTTACTATGACAAATCGTTTAAAATTTTAGTTCATAAAACAAATTAAAAAATATGTATAAATTCATATAAAATTTCTAAAAACTCCCAATATTTTAGTCCAAAGGCAAATAAAGCAAAACATTCTCAACGCAATAACACATCACTAATTGTCCAACAAATAATTTAGAATTGGTCAGTAGTCCCTACCAACCAATGCAACCGCATTTTTCAATTTTTTCAACTCCAGAGTTCCAAAGTCCAAACCCTCTTTACCAAATTATATTATTTTGTGATATTTATCCTCCACCCAATAGCGCTACCCCATGTGATGTCACCCAATTATGAGTGGGGTCCATGCCTCATCCAATGAGATTTTAGATATCTACACAACTAATCTCTCACCTATGCCTCCACCATACTCCATGGAACCTCCTTCCAGAACTTTCCTAAGGACCATTCTCTCTCTCTCTCTCTCTCTCTCTCTCTCACCTAAGGACCATTCTCTCTCTTTTAAATTCTTGCCCGATTGGAGAAAGAGTTAATGGGCGAATTAGAAAATTAAAATTACAAAGGAATTGTTATTAATATTTTAAAATTTTTATTTAATATTATAAATTTTTTATTATTAAAAAAAAATACACTTATAAGAAGTATAGAAGAAGATTTTTAAAATGCTAATAATAATTCTCATTTACAAATACTTCCCAAAAGTGTAGAACGTTCCCAAAACATTTTAGAAAAAATTGATTAAATCACTATTTAAACCCCTTGTGATCTTAGTATTTGCAGTTTCTTCTCATGTGACAAAACCTGCCAACTATATATAACGGCTAAAACGACTTTCCCAAAGAAGAAAGCAGAAATCCAAAGCCTCAATCTACGCAGCTCCGCCCGCTCCTCTCTCTCTATCTCTCTCTCTCTCTAGCTCTCCTCTCTTTCTCTCTCTTCCATCCATTTTCAGAACTTATTCTTGCTCAGATTCAGCTCAAATCTTCCGTTCCCTGATCAGAAATCTCGAAAAGTTTGCGCCTTTGAGCTCCTATTCGGAAGCAGGAAGCTCATGACAACCGCAGCTCTGCCTTTTATCTTGCATTTCAACAGCAACCCATGTCAGTTTTTTACTCTCTTAATCTCTTAATTAGTCTTCTTTTTCTTGCTTAATTGATTATCAAAATCGGATTTTGAATCCGACCCAGAATTCGATTTCGAAAAGAAAAAAACGTAGTGGAAATCGGTGCGAGATTCGATACCCACCAAGATATTGTTCATATTTCTGCGATTTTCAGCCATGAATTATTTGTACCCAGTGAAAGAAGAGTACCCGGGTTCGAGTTCGAGTTCGTCTCAATCGGGTCCAGATTTCGACCCGATGGTGATGATGATCCCTCCGCCGCAGCCGATGGAGGGCCTGAACGACACGGGCCCTCCGCCGTTTCTGAACAAGACATACGATATGGTGGACGACCCGGATTCGAATCGGGTGGTGTCGTGGAGCAGGGAAGGGGGGAGCTTTGTGGTGTGGGACCCACATGCTTTTGTGATGAGCCTCCTGCCTAGGTACTTCAAGCACAATAATTTCTCAAGCTTTGTGAGGCAGCTCAACACTTACGTAAGTGTCTGTTTTCACCCCCAAGCTGAAATCTTTAAAAATTGGTTAGTGAAAACTTCAATCCTTTTTCATCAAGTTTTTACAGATGTTCAAAGTTTAAATGTACGTGGAAACAATCCGATTGGGTTGAGAAAACGTCAAATATTCAATTTGAGCACAGACGGCTAAAAAGGGTGTGAGAAAGTCGTTAACTTTACTCAAATCTTATGTGGATGAATATGATCATCCATCTTTAATATATTGTGTTGTAGTCCCTTGTAATTTTCTTTCTTATATTTTTCACCACTATTAAGAAAATCCTAAGCTAATCCTAAATGTTCTTGATCATCTGAGCGTTTTTGTTTTTTTTTTTTAATATTTAATTTTGGATAAAAAAAAAGTTGTTCTCATTTCTTGGTAGTGTTTTACTTTCTGGTAAATAATCGCTTTCATGTCTTGAATTTCATAACTCATGGTTATACATTACTCTTTTAATTACCTTGCTTTTACCCCCTCCACTCTTCACTTCTTTTTAATGTATGCTCCTTTTCCACAGTGTTGTCCTTTTGGGTGGTGATTTTCGCAATCATTTCTACCCTTGCTACACTTTTCCATCGCTTTCTATTCTCGAGATTTAATAAATCAAATATGAATTTAGTGCCAAAAGTAAAGAGAGAAGTGCAGAATTAGAGGAATCGGAGTGAAAATCACTACATTTTTTAAGTTTCTAGTCTTCTCATTAGTGGCTCACCTTTCTTGATTTCCACTGGTGTCAAATTTCAAAAGTTAGTAATACAATATTCAGCACTTTCTGATCTCCTTGTGAAGTGCAGAATAATTTAGTCTCTCTCTTGTCTCGTTCCACCAATACTGATAGATAAAAATATTTAGTGTGTATCAAATATTTGATGGGCATTGGTTCAAAGGGTTAATGGAGAAGCTTAATAGATTTCTGAATCTAATTGGGCAATTAGGGTTTGTAATGTCATTGGTTCTTGGGAATTTTGGTCCTAAAATGTAATTAACTTGTGCAGGGTTTTAGAAAGGTTGATCCTGACCGATGGGAGTTTGCCAATGAAGGATTTGTAAGGGGTCAGAAGCATCTTTTGAAGAACATTAGAAGAAGAAAGGCACCTTCTCAGCCTTTTCCGGCACAGCAAACTGTCAGCACTTGTGTGGAACTTGGCCAGTTTGGGCTGGATGGAGAAGTTGATCGGTTGCGGCGTGACAAGCAGGTTCTAATTATGGAACTAGTGAAGCTTGGGCAGCAGCAGCAGAGTACTAGAGCCTACCTTCAGGCCATGGAACAAAGGTTACAAAAGACAGAAATGAAGCAGCGGCAGATGATGGCTTTCTTGGCAAGGGCAATGCAGAACCCGGCTTTTATACAGCAGCTTGTCCAACACAAGGAGAAAAGGAAGGAGCTTGAAGAGGCAATGACTAAGAAAAGGAGGAGGCCAATTGATCAAGGACCTAGTGGTGTTGGTGGTGGCGAATCAGGCCTAAGAGGCAAAGGAATAAACCCAGTTAAAAATGAGCCTCTTGAATTTGGCGATTGTGAGTATGAAATGTCGGAGCTAGAAGCACTTGCGATGGAAATGCAAGGATTAGGTAAGGTGAGAAAGGAACAGGAGGAAGTGGTAGAGCCACTAGATAGCGGAGATAAGGAGCTTGATGAAGGATTTTGGGAAGAACTATTTAGTGAGAGATTCAAGGGAGACTTGACCGTTCCGAGTGCTGAAGTAGGCGAAGATGAAGATGTGATTATCTTGGCTGATCGCTTAGGTTACGTAGGTTCATCCCCAAAGTAGACTAGCTAGCTGGACTTCTTCTGCATTGCTCTCTCTCTCGCTCTCTCGCTCTCTCTCTCCCTCTCTCCCCCGTCTTTGGTTTTCACTTCCTCCCATATCTTTCGGAACAAGGCTAAAGCCTTCAACAGTTGTTTTCATAGTCTCTCATTTTGTCTCTGGGGTTTCTCTTCATGTGCCATTAGGCCATAACTTTCTTCTGGATTTCTTGGTATTGACAGGATAGGGGGATGAGCAAGCAATTATTTGTGGAAAAGAAACCATCTTTGTTTCTGGTGTTTCTAACCCTGCACATGATAATTGATTGCCACCTTTTCTTCTTCTAATAATTTCCTCTCTTCTTTCTTTATCTTGGCTAGGTTGCAGGCATTGCTTGGACAGAACCTTTGGTAACTTTTATCGTTATTTATGGCAAGGTTGTTGTTTATTAATCTATACAAACCACTGTTCTATGTACCATAAATCAAATTAATTATCTGTCTCTGCCTGTTGTAATCTATTTATGGCCTCTCTTAAAGGAATGTAGATTGTTGAGAAGCTGTTAAACTTGAAAAGGAGTTGCAGCAAAAGCTCCAAGAAACCCTAAAACATATTCTTGTTTTTGGGTCCAAGTGACTACATTGGTAGTTTGTCAGTATGATATATTCTGTTACTGAAATGTTGTTTTAATTAGTTAGATGTAAATAGAGTTAGGTAGTAATGAACTTCATAATGTTACCTTTGTACCGTGTAGATCGTAGATTGGTTCATGTCCGATATGGTTCTCTCCTCAGTCACTTCATCAGCTGTGGACTCTCAAAAACTGGTACACTATGCTCCTTAAAACATCACCATAAAACTGTGTTCCTTACCCCATTGATGTCTTACAGATGAAGACAGGATCCGAGTACGAAAGTAATTCTACGAAAAGCACGAATTCGATCGGTTTGTAAGAGTAATGCAACTTTGGTCTGAAAGATGTTGTAATGTAGATGGCGGTGTCATCTCAACAGCTCAAGTATATTCCTGTAACATCCTGATACTAACACATAAAAACCAGAAGGACATTTTGAGAGGAAAATCTGAATTTTGGATTACTAGAGGAGGATAGAAAATTAAGTTCCATGGCTAATTTGTACATGAGGTTTCTAGAGAACAAGATGGGAAGTCCATGTTCTCGTGGACTGGTCACACTTTATAACACTTATCGGCTTCTTACATAAGAGAAGGAGAATTATTCTTTCTTAAAACACGAAAGGAAAAGTCTTTTCACTCGAATTGTAATTTGGCTGCAAGGAGAAATAAAGTATTTTCCTGCTATCAAAATTCCTAAGCTATCACCAATTCATGAGATCAACATGATTTCCCTAGTGCATGACTGCTTAGAAATGCTAAAAGTGTTTTTGGATGATCAAAGACATTTTTACTACTGTGTACATAAAAACTTAAAAGTATTTTTGGGTCTTGGCAACAACACAGAGGAGAAGTGCTTAGCACGGTTCTTTTCTTGGACGTGCTTGGATTACTGAAATGCATAAGAAATGCTTTCTACAAAAGTAGTTTCAATTGAACCCTTATCATAGCCTCTACTCACAAGTGCAAGTGTATTAGATTTTACTGAAAACGGCGTATCAAGATTAGTCTAAGTTATTCTAAAGGGAAGAGAGAGTCGGGTGTATTTTAAAGAAAGTGGGACAGCTATGGTTGCTAATTCAATTTTCATGTTTGGCGAAAAATATAATAAGTGTGGATGACACATGAGAAGTGAGCAAACACAATCTCAAATGAAAACTTAAAAAAAATAAGTAGTTAGACCATCTTCAACTCATAATGCTAAACCTAACCTCCCCCCCGCGCGACCTCTCCCCGCCGTAAGATACAGTCTTTTTCACCTTCTATTACACTATCTTTGAATTTTAGCTCTTAATTTGTTCAGTCTAATAGCTAAAAAGAGTGTGCAAAAATCATTTCTCATTCTACAAACACTTATTCTACAGCTTTCCAAAAGAAACAATTTCAATGGACGTATTGTCACTTGCCCTTGGTATCTTTTTCTTTTTTTTTTTTTTTTTTTTTTTTTTTTTTTTTTTTGCCTTTCCTTCCTTTCATTGATGAGGGCCATCCATTAATTTCACAAACGTGATATCCATCACTTAAGCCCATGAATTGTCGTTTGGGCCTGCAATCCTGCCCACTCACCCTTATTGCTCATTGCTTCCAACCGTCGTTTGTCTTCGACGACTCCCGCCGTTTACCTCTCTTGTTCTCCTCCCCGGTGTAGGACTGATGTAAACTTCTTCCTGTAAGCCCCCGTGCAGGAAGGCATTTAGAATTCTTTCTTCTCAACAGAAAAAAGAGTTACTGGATTAATCCACTATATATACATTTTAAATATATATAATATGTTTGATATTATAAGCCATTTCATGTTCACTCGAAATCATGAATGACTACCTTAGGGTTTACTTGTTTAGTCTTCTACGCCGACACATAAAGCTATTAATTCAGTGTTATACTATTGATGAACAACGTGGTTGATACTTGACATGATATAGTATAATTAAATAGATATAAAAAGAACAAAAATAAAATAAATGCATGTGTTATAATTAACATGAATAAATTGATAACACGGTCTAACAATTCGCACTGAAAAATTAGGGTTTACTTCATAAATAAGTTCGCCGCGTAGACATAGAATAAGCTATATATATATATATATATATAACGTTCATGTGTATTTTATATTCTATGCCTTTTCATGTGCCCCAAAATTCAAAGCCAAAAACTTGCATGTGAGAATCTGGTGATAGAAAGAACCCGTGAATAAGGCATGGCCCGCACGGTGTTATATTTCTTCCCAATTCATCAAGATTTACCTTATCTCTGCATGCAATGCAGAATAGAACAAAGTTGTATAAATAAAATAGATTCAAATTAGAGTAATGTTATTCATACCATATTTTTATACCATCTTAAGTGACATTTGATGTGGACAGTCACATCATTTGAATTAATCATATTTTTAAATTTAGTTCATTATTTAATAAACTAATAATTAAGAAAAACTAGTTAATTAAATTATGATTGTGGTATACGAGGAGTCTTTCTTCTTCCTTTCCTTGGTTTTTACAAATTTTTCAAATAATGTGGCTGTCCACATCCTATGCCACCTAAGGTGGTATAGAAATATGGTATAAAAAATATGATATGAATAACATTACTCTTCAAATTAATTAGAATAAGCAAGATGTATATATGTAGAGCAACTAACATGAAAAAGTTAGTTGCTCTACATATATACATCTTGCTTATTCTAATTAATTTGAAGAGTAATGTTATTCATATCATATTTTTTATACCATATTTCTATGGTTTAGAACATATCATCACCTTGGTGGTAAACCTATTTCATTTAAATCATTCTCCACAAAATATTGAGATGGCTATCTATCTGAATTTCATATATACTTCAGTTACTTGAAAGGGTAGTTTTTTGACGTCTCCACGCTACTAAGGTTTCTGATTTTTCAAACTTGGCCAAATTGTTAAATAAATTATTAGTTGTCCTACTTTGCTCACTCATCGCTCGGTAATTACCTTGACAATGACTACCGCATAGTATTTCAATATTATTCTTCACTTGTATTACAATCTAACAATATATTATTAGAGACTGAAGGCCAGTTTGAGATTGCTATGCTTTTTTAAAAAAACAGCTTCTGTTGTCTTTAAAAATAATCCGCTACAAGATAAAGCAGTTGAGCGTTTGATAAACTGTATTTTTAAAGTGTTGTGAGTATGAAAAGTAGTGTAAAAATGTTTGGTAAATTTTGTAAAAGTGATATAATTGTATATAATGGCAAAAATGGATGTGGTAGTGTGGGCAATGGCAACTACAACGGTGGCAAGAGCAATGGTTGTGATGGTGGTGGTGATGGTGACAATAAATGGGTGTGGTGGTTAGGATGCTTAAATAACAATGGTCGTAAGGGCAACTGAGATTGCGGCGGTTGTGGTGGTAGTTGTGTTCATGGTGGTGCTGGTGGTGACGGTGGCAGTACAATGGTAGTGACAGTTGTGGTGGTAGTGTGGTGTGTACGATTATGATGGTGGTGGTAATGGTGGTGGTGGTGGCAATGGTGGTGTAAGAGTTTATGGCTTGTAGTGTTAGGTGATGGTGGTCACTTTGTTCTCCAAAGATAAAATGTATCGAGAAGAATAAATAATGTCATTTTTTTTAAAATTAATGAGCGTATTACAATAATTAAAAATATTAATTAAAGGCTAAACTTCGCTTTTTATTAAAGCAACTTTTAAAATCAACTTACAAGTTGCTTTTAAAAGCTGGAAGTCATTGCTTTTAAAATAAGTAGGATATTTTATTTTTACCAAACATTTTTTTACTGCTTAAATTTAAAGTAAGCATCTTGTGGTGAAAAAAAAAATTAATACCAAATTGGGCCTAAGACTAAGATTAAGATGTAAAATTATAAGGTTCTAAAAGACGCTAGACACTAGTCGGGCGGTGGGCTAGGGCCTAGCGCTTAGGCTGCTAGGCGGATTTAATTAAATCTATTATATTTCGTGTAAATAAGTGTCTATTTATACTTAAAGTATATATAATTTCATCATAAACTACACAATAGAATTATATATATATATATATATTATGTGCTATTGAAACAAAATGAAAACATGGGAAACAAGCATATAATATTTGTTCATTTAAGTATTCAACAAGTCTCTTACAATTTATTGAAAAAAATAAAATGTAAAATGAAAGTTATCTATTTTTTGTCTAAGTGAGTCGCAACCTAGGCAGGTGCCTATGCGGGTCTTGGCGGGCAGGTGCCTAGGCGGTCTAGGCGGGCGCCTCAGTAGGTCTAGGCGCCCTTTCTTAATTTTCAAACACCTAGGCATTAATCGGGGCAGTGACCAGCCTCCTAGTGCATAGGCCGCTATTTTATGATATTCTGACATGACATGGTCATGTGTGATAAATTCAATTTAATTAATATTGTTTTGAAGCCACTTATTAGTACGGTCTAGTGGTATTCATCTTCACTTGTAAGTGAAAGGTCTTAGCTAGGTTCGATTCTCGCCAAAAGGCAAATAGGCTTAGCCCACTCCCCCACCTCCTTAGTGTAGACAATATCATTTGCTAAAAAAAATGAATATTGTTTTGAAAGCAACCCTATTGGTCAAATTATGAGAATTGACTTTCTATTTTATTGAGTGATAATTAATTTCAGACTTCATTAGGAAATGAGTCCTCCCTCGGCCTATGAGAGAGATTATCAAGCTATGTAAACTTTTGTTCTGCAATTATTATTACTCATGAATTGGATCTTATAGCTTTACCCAATTTTAAGTTTACATAAGAATAAGGATTGATAAATTTGCCACCAACTTCCAGGACCCTAGCTGGATCCAAATATATGATCACAACGAAGAAAAACTTGACCTCGTTGTCGATCTCTCCCATTTGTTAAATGCCCAACTTTTTTTTGGGGGGGGGGGGGGGTAAAGCCAAGTTCATAAACAGTAAGAAAATATAATCAACCCAAACACTAAACAACAACAAAGAGACCCCAACAACCACAAGGATCTTTGTTTGCCAATTTTCAGTTAACACCAAAAGGATTCAGTTCCTAATTTTACACAAATTTAGGTTAACTTGGTGAAGAGGGGAACTGGTAAGGCAAAAAAATTTGGGCAATGCTTTTACAGAGAATATTGCCTTCTTAGGTTATGTTGATGTTACAGTTAGAGTGCTATACTCAAATGACTTTACTTTTTTATTCCAACTTAGGTTATATGATTTATTAATTTTTTTATCTTCATTTTTTTTTTTTTGGGCCAATTGTTTTTCCCTAAAGGTGTTAATCAGTGAAGCATAAATCTCATCTTATCCCAAAAGAAAAGAACATGAATCTCACTAAAAAGCCCTGCATATTCAAAATATTTAAAGATCAAAAGAAAACCCACATAGGATTCCAATTTCCAAAGGATTTACATGAGAAACAAAAAATTTAGAACAACATGCAGCTCGCAAATGGGGTCCTATATGCCCTACACGTCTGAGGCTTAAGGGATTGGTTTGCATGCCCATGCTAGTTAAGCCACGCATGGCTTCAAAAGGAAGAGAATCCCTTGCCAAGGACACTTTTGGTAATCTGAAGGGGACAAAATGGAGAATTTGCTTGTGGCTTTAGATTTGGGTTTGGAATAAAGTAAGTTATAAGAGAAAAAGAGCAGACGGTAGAGGGCCTTCT